GAACACTACATAACCTGATCTTTGTGCTCTTGACGAATGATTCTATTCAATTTGGTATACGTCTGTCTCCGCGCCTTGAGACGATGCGATGCCGCGATTCTCGAAAGACACGAAGATATAGTGATTTTTTTACCCATTACAAAAAGCTAGACCTTGTTTTCAGCTTGTACAACAGTCCTTACTAATTGGAAATGGTGCACGTATTCACTGCACTGCCTAAAAAGGTGAACGGTATCTAAAAGGAAGAAAGGAAGGACCGAAAAGTAAACTCATATAATTTGGCGGCAGTTCATTGGCAGCAACATGAGTGTTCATCTCAGTTTCGAGTTTTAGTTATGCGTTTATGCGGGAGCGAGCGAGTTGGTGAAATTGAAGAAAACATAAAATGGGAACTAAAGGATTGAAAGATGGTTGAGCCTCTGTGGCAAGGAGGGTCTAGCTATCTTGAGGAATTTCTTTTCGTGGTTGCCGGTTTAACGTTAGTTAGACTGAGAGAATTGAAATCGCCTTTGAGTTTCCGCCATTTTGCTGTGCTGTGCTATGTTTTGAGAGATATGATCACATTGATGCTTTTGACTGGCTGTGATATTCATAATGAATGATAATGGTGATGATTCAGTCGTGCGATTATACGAAGGAGCTGTCTGGAAACTGACAAGACAAGAGACTGAAAGACCAACAGTCGATTACATAGGTATTTGACAAAAGAGAATCATCCAGACTAAATACAGGGTAACAGAAAACTAAGCACGACTCCTCTTCTTGTTTTCTCTATGCCTTTGCTCTTTTGCAACAGCCTTTCTCCGTTTCTTCCACCCTCTCGTATTCTCTCCTCTGTGCTCATAAAACCATTTCTGAAAATCACTTTCGGGCGCCTCCTCTGATTCTTTCTCTTTGAATATGATCTTTCCACCTATAGAATCTTTCGGTGTTGGAGAATTCCCTTCATCGTTATCATCATCATGCTCGTTACCTCCAGGCCATATAAATCTCTTGTTGGCGTAAGCAGTATCAGGTGTCGGTGCTGAGCTTCTCAAGCCTCGAGATTCGAAATCGCGTTGGGTGAAGGGTGTTAAAGGGATTTGATTGGGTTCCTCGCCAATATCGGAGTCCTCATCATCAGCGCCAAAGAAACTAAAGGAGGTTGACTTGGTTTCAGGTTTGGGTTCATCGGAATTGGAGTCAGGATTAGGTTTAGAACGTTTGTAAAGAGCTTCAAGAGGATGTACCTCTGTGGGGATGGATGTTGAATGGACGATGGGAGAGGGTATTGTAATACTTAGACCAGAGGATGACTGAGGTCGGGCTGTTTTCGTTTCCGGGGTCATGACCGAGGTTGGCGGTGGCATTGTCGATGGTGTGGATGTGGAGAGATTCTCAGGGGAGGCTACGACAGACGATGCATCTTCGTCCTCCGAGTCACTATCAGAGGAATCCAATGACTCAGAATCCGACGATGTGTCAGAGCCTGATGATGATGCATCATCTTCCGATTCAGCTTCAACCTTGGAGACTTTTGGCTGGCTCGAATTGATATGTTCCACTTCCTCCTCTGATGAGCTCTCTCCATCCGAAAGCTTCTCTGCCTCAATTGGAACCTCGAGGGCTTCTTTGACCGCTTCTGTCATCACAATATCCTCGGATTTTAATTGTGGCTTGATATACTCGTCTTCGTCGGCAGAACTCTCCGAGTCTGATGAGCTGCTGCTCTCGACTTCTGCTGCCTGCCTCACTTTCTTCATCGCTCGACCTTCAAAATCAGATTCATCAGATGAAGAATCTCCTCCTGTGGACTTGTCCTGGTCCGAACTACTGGCGCTATCTTTGCCCATCGCTTTTTCCTGAGCCGGCTCCTCAACCTTGGGTGGTTTCTGACTCTTCCGTACCTTTTTTACCACTTCTTCTACCACATTACCGTCTTCGTCTACCCACCCTTTCCCATCCATAAATTCTACCGCGGGCTTCGACTTTGTACCCTCAGTGTTACTTCTTAAGAAGGTTGCATATTTTGTGCTTTTAGCAAACTCGTGCACAACAGTACCTCTACCCTTCTTACTCCTTCTACTCGATTTCTCACCACTCGTAGCCTTGGTATGTGCAGCAACATTTGGCGGTAAGATTGTCTTGAACAAACACTCCTCATTTGTAGTATATTTTGACTTAACAACATTCTTAAGCTCCTTTGATTCCCTCTTCGCCTTGCCTATATCCGCGGCAGTTGTAGTCCAGCCTCTCTTAACTTTCCTATCTCCAATTACTACAGCAGGTATGGTTTCCTCTCCTCGTTTGCGCTTTCTGCTTGGATCCTTCTGTTCTCTTTGTCTCTTGGGCGCTGGCTCTGGCTCATTTACTGGGCTTAAATCTTTCGCTGGTCGAGCTGTTTCGATACGGATTTTCGAACCTTTTAATATAGAGCCATGGAGCTTCTTTTTTAACTTTTCGGCATCCATAATAGGTAGGTCGACAAAACCGTAAGGTCTGTCCTGGAAAGTTTCGAGGGTGTGGTAGGAAATGTTCTTCGCATTAGGGAGAATTGACGGAGGTATTATAGTAGTGAGGAGGTTGGGATTGAGTGGGGTTATGTGTAACCTTGTGTATTCTGAAGTCGAGGACATATCTATGGTAAGGTAGGACCTAGATTCAAGGAAATACTCCTAGAATCACTGGCAATGAACAGGTGTCTGGTATATCTTCATATATTGGATGTAGAAAAAATTAGGGAGCTTGGAGAAATTCAATGATAGCCAGAAGGCGCTAAGATAAGAGAGCAGAAGGTGGAGCCTTAAAACATTTCTTCCTTCTTTCGCGCTTACTGGGTTTGACGGTCTGTGCGCGAAACTCTCTTGCTGATCCACCAAGCGCTATCACAATTGCAATATATATTATAAAATTTAGTTATACTTCAACAATAACATGGGGGTCTGGTTTAGGGGTATAACATTCCTTTCGCACTTTGTGAATCACAACAGTAGACTAGGAAAGGTCTTGGGTTCGATTCCCAAGTCCTCCACATTTTTGGCTGCTTCGCAACATATTTTTGTCATTTTTATCATTTTTATTGTGTTCACTACAACAGATTTGAATATTGTTGTGGTTTGTTGCATTTTTGATGCGGGGCGGTGGGGGGGGAAGGTTTAATCTTGGATGGATATGAGTTACGGTTCTTATTAAGCAACCTTAATTAAATATACCGAAGCTGTATTAGATACTCCTCCACTACTTCGAATAACTATAAAATTGGAAATCAAACTCAAGACCTTTCCTAGTCTACTGTTGTAAATCACAAAGTACGAAAGGAATAATATATTAAATTTCAAACAAATACTAGGCATGGTAATTTGAGGGCTTCCACCCTTCGTGTAATTTCTTCAAAACACTCTTCTACAGCTCCTGCTTCCGTTAATTCTGCGCTAGTATATATGATATTGTTTCGGAGCGTAGTGAAAGAAACTTATACATCGGATTTTACGGAATTTTTTATATAGTATCTATTAATTATATTTCTATATCTAGAAATCCAATTTATATATAGTTAATTAATCTATATACAGATATATAATATATTTAATTATAAATTCAATTATATAAAGAATTAAAAAAATAAAGAATAAACTTTATCTTTAATTCTTTTAATTCTTTTAATTCTTTTAATTCTTTTAATTCTTTTAATTCTTTTAATTCTTTTAATTCTTTTAGGGTATGCTTTTAATTCATTTAATGTCTGTGAAGCTTTAATTCTGTTTAATTCGGGGAATTCTTTAAGTCTTTAATTCTTTTAATGTCTTTAGATCGTTTAATTCTTGTATTTTTAATTCTTGTAATGCTTTTAATCTTTTAGTCTTTGAGAATCTAATAAGAATAATCTTTAAATAATTAAATAATTTTAAATCTGAAAAATTCTTTAGAAATTTCGAGTTAATGTTGGATCTATTGATGTCTAAGTTCAATATTCTAAATGCTAAAATTTAGTATTCTATATTTGCTATTATTTCTATTATTTCTATATTTCATTATTTCTTATTATTTCTATTATTTTCTATTATTTCTATTATTTCTATTATTTCTATTATTCTATTATTTCTATTATTCTATTATTTCTATTATTTCTATTATTTCTATTATTTCTATTATTTCTATTATTTCTATTATTTCTATTATTTCTATTATTTCTATTATTTCTATTATTTCTATTATTTCTATTATTTCTATTATTTCTATTATTTCTATTATTTCTATTATTTCTATTATTTCTATTATTTCTATTATTTCTATTATTTCTATTATTTCTATTATTTCTATTAAATTATTAAAATAATAATGAAATAAATGAATAGATAAGAATAAGAATAATAAGAATAGAAAGTATTAGGCGCTCCAAAACACTAGCAAGCTAGCTCGCCCCGAAATATAACTTGGCTACTCTTCGGTCATATGGTGTTAGGCGTCGGATACCATCTAATAAGGGGATAGACTCATCGTAATATTCCAGACTACGGTTAACTCTAAGATCTCTCTCAGGCTCTATAGGCGCGCAAATCGATTTAAATAGTCTAAACATCTTTTACTTGTCGTACTAATAATGGAGCCCTTGGTCCAGGTAATCATTCATCGGTTTCCCCCATTCCACTATTCCATCCCTTCGCACTAACAGCAGCATTGCATCAGAATTACTTGGAAAAGAGCAAGTGTTACTTTTGATGGAGTTTCATTTGGTATGAGCATTTGCTAGTGATAATTTAGCTCTTGTTCACCTTGAACAAGAAAGCCCTTCAGATACTAACGCCTCTATGATTGAACGCCGCCCTTGCAACATTCGCACCTAACAACACTTGTATAACAATATTGACTCCAGGCACCGCATGGCAAATCCCGTTGTGTTAAAAGAACGGAGCAAAGTTCTCAGGCTTCGTTCATTCTGGTATCATAACCCCTGAGTTCTCATATGTCTTGCCGCAACTTTTCTGGGGGTCTCTCTTCCTCCCATAGCTTGTTTTGAATATTCATCTCGAGAAGAATCTTCCAATCGTAGCGCTTGCAATATTTCCCGCGATTCCTGAGGAATACATAGCACTGCCCGCCAAATTCGATGCTTGTCCAAACTTATCACATCTCGAGAATGCCAAAGTATTCGTAACTGTCAAACTCAATGCAATCACTGCAAAACCATACTCGTTAGCGATTTCCTCGGTGCGTCATCTCGTTTCTATCCCTATTCCATACTCACGGCCGCCTGCAATCCGAAACAAAAGGCAGAACTTACCGATCAGTGTCAACCAAATAAATTCAAACCTAAAAATAGCCACAAAGGCTAATCCAACCCATAACAATGGCTGCGAATAAAGTGCAAGCCAGAAGAATCTGCTATCCGTAGGGTTTATGATTTTCGTGTTTGGATCTGAGGATTCAAAGACCCAATGCGAATCACCAGAGGCAGGATCTACTTCATTCCACCAACGTAATCCAACAAGGCGGCGACCGGCGATATTCTTTAGGTAGTAAAAATCGGCAGCGAGGAGCAGGATGGTTATTATGAAGATCATGACACTATTTGAATTAGAGGGTCAATTGACAAATCTAGGAACGGAGACATACAAGTTTTTAATGAAGAGCATTCCGAAGAGATATACCAGAAGACTTGCTATTTTATCAGTTAGTAATGTATTCATAATGGCATATCCAACAATCCATCCAGTATTAACTACAACTCTCGAAGCTCAAATCAAACAATGCGCAAACCTACAAATGCGAAATCCTAGGAAGCACAACAAAGTAATAGGATGTGAGCTGAGACGCCAACTCAACGACCCAGCAGATTCGTTCTGTTCCATGATGAAAGAGGTATGTTTTGTCAAAAGAGCGTAGAAGTTGAATTTGTTAAAGTGTTGATCATGAACACCTGCATCTGCATGCTCAGATACTCGTAATCGTCGTAAGGCCAGAGTAGCTAGGAGCTTAAGGTTTGACCCCAGTTATGGCGCTAGTTAGACGGTGAACAATGGCAGTATATTTCTGGTTGACCTCATGTCTCCTCAATCACCAAAAACTGTGGGTGTACATTCAAAGACACTACACTCATTCACTTTATCAGTTCCATAACAATATCTTCAGAGGTTGTCATGAATACATATGAAATGGCTACAAAATCTCATAAGTTCAAGTAAGATCACATGTTGACCTAATTACATCCGGAGATCCTCTGCGTCAGATGCATCTCAACCTGGGTGTTAAGATGTTCTATGAACAGGAGAACATACTTCTAATAAGATTGGATGCGTCCCAGTCCTGCGAATAAACACTGCAAAAAATTCATCGTTCACTTGCTACACTTTTTCTTGTCACTTCACTAATATTACAATATATTCATATCACATTGGTTCATTCGTATATGTGGTTCAAAAAAATCTCGATTTAAAATGACAAACTTGAAGGAAAGTACTAACTAATTGTACAAAAAGACGCAGTCTTTAGATTCTATTCTAACTTGACCCCTTTCCCCAAATCACTCCATTCTCCTCTTAAAGTCTCCAACTTCTTCCTCTGATCTTTCTGGTGGGATTGGCAGTAGAAGTGGAGTTGAGAGTAGTTCCACAAGATCCGAAGCCGGGTTGACAACCGGTGCCACACCAAGCATCACCAATTCCACAGAATCCATCCTTGGAGCAACATGGACCAAAGCCGGAGCCGGTACATGTTTTTCCAGCAGAACAGAGACCGTCGACTGAGGCCTGAAGGGCCCCGGAGCTGGTTCCGGAGGATGAAGGGGAGGTGGTGCTTGATGTTGGTGAAGCTGGTGCAGATGTTGCGATGATGGTGACCGAGCTGAGCGTAGATGAGGCTGCAATGGTTGGAAGGATTACGATGGAAACTGGAGTTGTGCTTGAGGAAGCAATAGGTACTGGAACATATGGCGCACCAACTGCTGGGGCAGATGATACGGGAGCTGCTGGAGCACTGGAGCTTTCACCGCCTGTACTTCCTGAAGCTGAGCCCGATGCATCAGAGCCAGATGAGGCAACACCATTGACAGGGCCACAAGTTCCGGTGAAGGTACCTGAGTCTGAAGTCTTGCGTGTAACATCTGCATCTGGACCTGGATTTGGGTAGTTGACAGCCTTACCTTCCACTGATGTGCATCCATTACCAAGATTGACAAGGAAGAGATCGGGACGGGCAGAAAAGGCGACAGCTGGAGCAGCGCGAGCCTTTGTGGCTTCGATGGTGACGGCAGCGCAGGACATGTAGAACTCGCGGTTACCGATCTGATTTTGCCAAGTCCAAGCGAACATTGCTTCTCCGGCTGGGGCGTCGGCGGGAACAGTGAAGTCGGCGCTCGAGCTTACTGCGGTAGGACAGCTTCCGATGTAAGAATGGATGACTTTGAATGTCTTGCCGGAGTCGTAGGAGAGTGCAACTTGGCAAGATCCTCCACCATGGATGGCACCGGTTCCGACGGTCCAGTTGGCGGTTTGACCTGCAGACCAAGTGACGACGGATTTTCCTCCAGCGGTGCCCATGTCGTTGTACTTGCAAGGGAAGTTTGCACCGGAGGCTGCGAGTGGAGCTGTGATGCTGTAGTCGATTTGAGATTGGACAGCGTTGGGGTTGAGTGCAGAACGGAAGGGAAGTGGCCAAGTCATTGACAGGTGTGCGTTAATGACGGAAGCGCAAAGGACCGCTCCGAGAGCGAGGCTATTGGTGAACCGCATCTTGATAGTGATGAAATTAAATTCTGGTTGTTTGTGTAGTGTGGTTCGTTTGCGACGTTGATGATCAGACCTGCTGAACTGTTGTATTATTGTGTATAGAATAGGTATGTGTGGCAGAGAATGTGATGATGGAGCTGTTTATGGATGACTTGAATTCGGGGGAATCTCGAGTCAATAAATACTGCAGAAAAATGACTGTACGAAAATAGAAGAAACAATGTGATTCGAATCTCGCTTTGTTAACAATAAAGGAATGATTCGGCGAGTGTTCCAGCACAATGAATTGATGACTTGAAGAAACTTAAGGAAAGTATATTGTTCTATATCTGAATATAAAACTCTTTATTCACTTTTACAAAAAAGCCAGAGTCCCAACTATTTAAATGGACGAATCTTTGTCCGTCCACACAAAGAAACCATAGAACAATCCAGATAATCAAAGACATCCTATGAATAACCCATTCATCTCCGAAGGTAAAATTAAGAACGACAGGAGAGTTTCAAAGACTCCAGCTCTGCACAACCCATCGAGTAAACCAGCCCAGTTCTCCCCTGTTGAAGAAAGCATCTGGTGAGACTTCTCAGTAGAAACCCAATAATCCGATCCAATAACACGATCCTTCCACACACTTGCGCGAGAATGCGCTCTTAAACTTACAAACGCGAAAGAAAAAAAAAATGACACTAGAAGAACCCTTCCCCTTTCTCGGCAAAAACTGCAGAAAAATCGCAAAAACTTCCTATGTACCCCAACTCATCCCGTCCCGTCTTGTCCATCGCGCACCCGTCGAACAAAATAACCCAGCAGCTAGCCCCAAAATTCCAAAGCTACCGAACCATAGAACTTCGAAATCGATCCCCGCTCCGAAACAAAGCAATTCTTGCACCTGTTCATTTCTGCCTTGTTGTGAGGAAATGCTCAGGAGAAGTATCAACAAAGGATATGAGTGGTTGTTGAGGAATCACAAGGCGACATCCCGCAACCAATCAACGTGCTTGAAACAGAAATCTTTGAAACCTCGCGTTCGAAACTTGATGATTGTATCCACCAACTGCCAAAAGTAATGTTATGTCCGTTAGGTTTCTTGACTCATATTCACCGGCGTATTCCTTAGCCTGTTAGTTGACATCAGGTTGTTTTCTATGAAAGATGGGAGTTTTGGTGGGATCGGAATTTTTGAAATATTGTAATCTCATGTCACTGGGCAGTATAACAGGAGGGGGTTTAAAACTTTGGATTGTAGTTTAATAATAGGGTATCGCTAATCCGTGAAGATATTATTGTATTGATTCGATTTGAGATACCAAAATCATTTGAAAAAATGTTCGCTAAAGTCACTGAACAAATATCAAAATGTCGAAGTCTCAGATCCGGTTCAGTCTCGACTCCTGAACGCCATTATACTCAGCTATGTCGGTTATTATGGAATTGTATCGAAGACTGACTCATTCAAGTCGTTCGGCAATCTATAGTTCGTCCTTCCTTCGCTGTGCCTCCTTCGCAGCCTCTTCTGGCTCTTCCCACATCCTCTTCTTTGGGTTTCCTGAATTTAATTCCTCAGTTCGCATTACGTTCTCTTCCAGCTCGGCTTCTGTATCATGGAGGGATTCGTGTTCAACCGAGTCTCCGATAATCTCTTCCTTGATAGGCGCCTGATAACGCTGGCTTTCATCAATAATATGTTCGACCTCCTCAACCATCGTTGATGCCGCTCTTGCTACCGGTCGTTGATCGCCGTTTTCAACGCTGATTGCTGGAGTGTTCTTGCTATTGGGAATAGCGCTCTCACTCCTAGTTGGGATAACTGAATAAGTTGCAGGCTCACTGGATATGGACATACTGCTTTCAACAGCTGAGCCACCCTTGGAGCCCATTATTCCAAATATACTAAATAGAGAGTAGAAGATTAACTTCAGTGGCGCATAAACCAACCACCAAAGTGGTCCGTAAAACAACCTCCTGAAAACAAGCCATGCAATTGTACATGCAAGTACGTAGAATGCCGTTTCAAGATACCACGTATCACTCTTTTGACTCCTCAGCAAAGTCCCAAGCAAATTTCGCGAACTCGATAGTAGAGAATCCAATGTAGAATATGTTTCATTCAGCTGGGCTAACGCCTCCGTTGACTGTTTTAATGTATCGTTTGCGAACTGTGATTTTTCTAACTCGCCCGCCATCATTTCGTGAGTTCGTCGAAGCGCAAGAGTAACGTCGCTGGCAGCATTTACTGTCTTATCTTCCTTTGAAAGTTCCGACTTTGGTCGCGCGATAGGTCTTTCCATCGAATTAGGGGTTGACCTACCGGAAGAGAGATTTAAGCTTGGCTGAAAGAGATGTTGTCGCTCCCAAACTTGCGCAGCGTTGAGCGTCTTTCTGGCTGTCACCTCGGCCTTGCGGAATGCTGAATAGCATCTACAGATTTCAGCGATCAGTCTGGAGCATGCTATATATGGGGGTGAACAAAATATATGTCTTACGATTCGACTTCTTTGATGTTCTTCTCCACTGCTTCATCAAGCATTTTTCTCTGTCTTCCCAACTCACTGTTCGGCCCTCCTATAGGCATGGACAGAACATCTTCTTGCAGTCGCTCAAAATCCTCATCTTGTTCTTTTAACACCTGTGCGATCTCCGCAGAAAGCTCCAGCAATACATTATCGTCATCGCTGTCCAGTGCTATAGAGCCAGGTTCGAACTTAATGGTTGCTAGACGTTCAATCAATTCTCTGGCTTGTCTATTTGATTCCTGTAGAGCCGCAAGGCGTTCGGAAAGCGTCTCGAAAGACATATTGATTTGTTTGAACTTGGTAGATGCCTTGGCTTGTAAATTCTGCATCGTCATGTCATGAGAGCTGGCTGTTTGTGAGGCTCGGAATTTACCGAGAATTTTATTTTGCGCCTAACATATTGAACATCCAGACCACAACTGCACCCCCCAGAAACTTCATAGAACATTGAAAGTCTCATGTAAGTTCACAATGATACGTTTGTTCGTTAAATACTAATTACATACTAGGCTTCGGTAGCAAACATGATCACAAGATTCATCACTGAAGTCTCAACAGTCTTCAATCCCTTCTCTCCCAAAGCCAAAACCGCACGGTTATTTCTCTCAGTTCTCCCACCAAATGCACGACAGACCATGAAGATCGATACAAAGATACTACCCAGAGCATCTAAAGAGCGGAGTCTTGTGCGCCTTAAGTTTAGTACGTTTTGTCAGATTCAAATTTTGTTCGCATTCGCAGATTCTAACCCTAATTTACAGAGGATGGAAAAGAGATGAAGTTGGATGCAGAGAAGCTCGGTATTAGAGGTGTATCTGATGAAGTGGATAGGCATTCACGAATTTTGGCAAGGCAGGAGGAATTGACCGGAAACTGATGATATAATGCTAGAATGTATATTTATTGCATGTGGGAGGCGTTTTCAAGGTCGTATGATTAACAATGTCATACTTTCAACAAGCACGGAGTGTCTATATGTGAACATAATATACGTGTGTTCTAGGACTTTATACGTCTCTCAATCCATGTCGATATTTCATGAAATGGATGGCTAAGGCCTATCCAAGGATTAGAAGGGTTAGTCTACAAGTCAGAAAGGTTGAAGATATTACGGCTTAGCAGGCAGCAATACTGGGCGACTATAAACGCTCGACGGTCCTACGGGTCTCCAGTTTTGGGTATCAAAATTACATCAAAAACTCAATGCGAAGACAAACAATGTTCATTTATCAACGCAATGATACGTTCTCCAACTGCGTTGGCTTGTATGCGGGTCTAAAAGTCCCAGTGCATTTTCGAGGAAACCCAGCAAATCTTTTGGCGAACAAGATATATGAGGAGCCAGAGAGTTGATATTATTTCACAATTGCACGCATTGAATGCCAGAAGTATTATGGAGCAAGAACTGCGCTTGGAAACCTTCGTATTGTATCTACAGCCAATAGTGATGGCATATGTGTAGGGTCGTTTAACTTTTATGGTATTCTGGCGATAACGCCTGCAAATGTAAAGCCGTGATTCAAGACATCTGAATTTAAGCGGCAGCACCAGAGATGAAGAACCACTTGTCAATGCTTGGGTCGATAGGAGCTGGGGCAAGGTTCTCGTTGGATGGGATAGGAGGAAGTTGGTTGGCTTCAACACGGCTGGTTGAGTGCTTGACAGTGACGTTGGTGCTACAAGTTTGTTAGTTAACAGTCGAAACAGCGAAATGACAAAAAAAACTTACGTTGAAACATCACCTGGGGTGGTCTTGCCAGTGATGAGCTTCTCCCAAGCCTCAGCACACTCACGGACGATATCGGTGGCGTACCTAAAATACATTTAGCTTGCATGTCCAATTTATAGTCGTGTGATAACCCTTACTTCTTGTTCTTGCACTCTCCAGTGAAAGCGAATTGGTTCTCTGGCTTTCCATCTGGGATTTTGTAGATTCTGAACCATTCATTTGTAGCCCTCAAGAGACCTGGAAGGTGTCTCTCAACATCCTCAACATCATTGAGCTTAGGAGCCAATGGGTCGTTGACATCGATGACAATGACCTTCCAGTCGGTCTCCTCCTCATCGAGCAAGGCCATAACACCGAGAACCTTGACTTGCTTAACTTGACCAGGGTATCCGACCAATTCACCGATCTCGCAAACGTCCAATGGATCGTTGTCACCCTTGGCCTTGGTTTCTGGGTGGACAACGTTGGGGTCCTCCCAAGTCTAATATCCCATCAGCTCGTGTCGCAGATAACATGTATAATATAGATTCGAAGTCTTACTTGAGGGAAGGCACCGTAGTTCCAGAGATAACCCTTGTGTGGGAAGCAGTTGCGGACGAAACGAAGCTTGCCCTTCTTGACATCTTGCTTCTGTGGAAACTATTAGCATAAGAGTTGAATTTGATGGTAGGAGGGACATTCGATTGGGTTAAGCATCTAATGAATGGCATGTTAGCTGACAGTGTACAAAACACAGTGATAAGTGAGAAAAACCTCTTCTTTGCTGATCTCCATCTTGCCGTTTGTCCATCTTGGGATCTCAACAACCATGTTCAAGATGGTTTGTTGCTCATTGGCATAAAGGGGGATATCGTGGAATGGAGAAACTGGGACTCCATCCTTTTCGATATAGATACGGTGCTCCAAAGTGTTTGGAGCTCCGATCTTTCTGACAGTGTATTTGGAAGCCATTGTTGTATTTAATGGTGTTGTGTTGTCGGAGGATGAATTCGTTGAGAGGTGACGAGATATTTGCACCACTCTTAGCGGTATGGTGGGGTTGTGTTTGTTCGCCAGTTTGGCGTGCGCGGCGGTCACGCCTTTATAACCAGGAAAGCGCAGGGGCAGATGTTGCTTTAATTGGTGAGAAGGAGCACGGCAGGTATTGGACAGATGGGTGAATGATCTGATTTGTTCTGCTCGAACCTGAATGGGAATTTCTATATTGGGGTGGTATTTCCAAATTGAATTTGGAATGCCACTAGACTTTAACTTGAACATTCAGATCTCTGGTGAATGTTCCAAAGAGTAATAAATACCTAGTAGGTCCTTGATACTCGCTCGTACTATGAATCTACAATCTGCAATCTGCAATTAACTTCCGTACTACCTTGGTAATAAATTACGCTATTCAGCAAATCTTTTTCGTCGACCGCGGCTTCTATGATTAACCGCTACCAATGGAACGTGCCTTGCCATATTTTCCGAACTTCGGACCCTGCCGTTTCCATATGGGACTTGGTCTCTTCTCTAAAGCAGCAGCAGCGGGATGTGTTGTCCCAATCTCCAATGTCCCAATGCTTCTTCAATCCAAACTTCAACTGCAACTGCAACAGCTACATCACATTATATTGGTCCACGCTTCAGGGGGAAAGTACTGGCCCAATCTTTGTACACTTCTCAATTCAGATCCCCCTCTCTTCTTTGTTCTGTTGATGATTTCGAACAATCAACTGAAGTCACGTCACAGCTTCTATTCTACACTTTTACCTGTGGACCCAAAGCATACTGACCCCGAGTATCAGCAGTTCAAGGAAGACTCATCAAATATGCGATATGAGTGCCAATTATATGATACACTGTAGGATGTATTAGCACCGTGTTAAGAAGTAAGAGTTATGAACAATATGATTTTCGCAACTGCCCAGATGGTTAAAACAAAATACAAAACAATCTCTCCTCATCATAAAGTCAATCCTTCTAAATTTTTGCTACCAAATCTCTCAAGGCACAGTGCAAAATGAGAATGTCCCTGAAAGATGACAGCAACTACCTAGGTATACAGAGTTCCTTGCTCACTGAGGTTCACATATTTTCGCTTACCCGGTCTATATAAAAGAGAAAAAGAGGCCAAAATTGAACATCCCCGTGAATTCTATAATAAATCAACCACAGAAAAAGATATAAAGATTAATAGTACTAGATAAATTCTTGGGCAGCCTTCAATTGCGGAATTATTCACACCTTTAATTATTTGAATTGTGAGGTTCTAATAGTTTGAACATCCTAAAAGATCGCAATATATGACAATGATTCCAAACTCTACACCAGAGCAAAACATCTAGAAGTAAAGGAAACATTGAACTGACATCCCATCCAACAAGTTGCCAATACCAAGACGCCGAGAGATCGAGAAAGCTTACGGAAAGTAACCTACAAACCCTTGGCAACGCCATAATAAAGTATATATAATCATCATCTGTTGCTTAACAACTCTATCTATTTCTACCCATCGTAACAGATAATTTCAACTCTCTTCTCTACCATCCCTCAACAATCTTAACCTTAACATATAACCCCTTCGATGGCTTCGCAGTCACTCCTCCTTTAATATCTAAATTCTTCTCATCCATCATCTTCTTATCATTCAACTCAAACTCAAACCTTCCAATCCACGTCGCCAACAAAATTGCAAATTCCGCCTTTGCAAACTGTTGACCAATACAACTTCTTGGTCCATGCAAGAAAGTAAGGAACGCATAATTACTTGAGCTCCCTCCGCCCGTATTATGCGACTCGCCATTGTCAGCCATCCATCGATCAGGGTCGAACTTTCGAGCAGAGGATCCCCACATCTTTTCGTCCTTGTTAATGGCCCATGGAATTAACATCACACGTGTCCCCTTCGGTATGCGTTGACTAGAGATCGTCGTATCGACGGCGGCTTCACGGAGAGTTAGAGGAACAGGTGGGAAATAGCGGAGAATTTCGTTACAGACAGCGTTCAAATATGGCATGTAATCGATATCTTGACTTGTGACACTGGCGTCTGAGTCTGGACTGGGAAGTTTTGCACGGACTTCCTCTCGGAGACGAGATTGTACTTCTGGGTAGGCGCAGAGTAGATAGATGGCCCAAGCCATTGAACTTGCAGTTGTCTCGTGGCCAGCTGCTAGGAAAGTCATGAGTTGATCGATGAGATTCTCGTCGGGAAAGCCTCCACTCTCCAATGCTACACTCAGAATATCCACATCTGTCAGCTCCTTCTTTTCGAGCTTCGACTTCTTCTCATGGATGAGATCCCTACAGACAGACCTGATGGTTTCTGCAGCTTCTTCGATTTCCCCATTTCTCTTAATAGGTATTCTTTTTACGAACCATCCTGGTAAGAAAAGCTGGAGAAATCCAAGAATTTGTGCAGAGCGTGTTGGTTTAAACACAGTCCTATATGTTCTATTTAGTAATGTGTCGGGGTCCTGAATGGCTCCGAAATCCTTGCCCAGGCCAGCTGCTCCGATGATGTCGAGTGTTATTCTACTTGCCCATTGCATAGCTTCCATTATCACTACGCCCTTCTCTGTCTGAGTGACACTTCCGTCATTTCCATCTTTTTCTTCGGCTACGTCATTGGGAATATCGCCACGTTCTTTCGCCTTGACTTCTTTGGTCATGGCTTTCAACCCTTCGCAAGATTTATCCCAGAAAACGGAATATAAATTCTTAACGTGTCGAAACGCAAACGCGGGCATGAGATTTTTTCTCTGTATTTTGTGTTCATCTCCCTCTGCCAACAGAACACCAATTCCAAGGAGACGTCCAATTCCGATACGAAGAGTAGAAGGTTTAACGAAATCGTAATTTTTGATGGTAAGAACTTCGCTGAGTGCTTTGGCATTTGTGACCATGACTCGCTCCGAGTTTAACATCCCTAAATATCTGATGATGCCATCGTTTGGAACGTCTTGTATCCTATTGCTCAGTTAGCTACATATAGAGATATATAGAGTATCAGATCTCACCAGTCAAGCATAGGCTGACCAGTCGGCTCTCCAGAGATCCTCTTCCATTGGCCATTCCACCAACTACCTCCTTTTGGAGAGGGTAAATGTCTCAGAGGTGAAAAATAGTAAGGATACAAGATCACTCTCCAGATCGCAAAGCCTACGAACTGTAACAAGTATAGTTGTACAAATGTTCCCAAGTAGCTCGGCTGGGTGGATAATAATGTATCTGGTTTGTAAGTAACAAGTGCGTAAGAAAGGGTCGTGGGTAAGACCAGCAGTCTCTTAAAGGGAATTGAAGACATAGAGGCGAAAATATATAACTATCTTTAAGGGGAGAGATATGTTGGCAGAGTACCAAGTACTTATATAGCGGGGTCGGATCTATAGATGTGCCGCCTCCGCAGGTCAATTTCCTTCGCAAGCAGAGGTTTCAATGGAAGTAGGAAAGTAGCTTCAAAATGAATGGACGAGTATGATAATTTGCCACGGAAGGATTTCCTGTACAGGTAATAGAGGTTAATGAGATCTAAAAACACCTTGTACATCTGCTTCGTCGCAAGTTTCAAATGTCGTGGTAATCTCATGTAACTTAGATCCGGGCACAAACAAGTTTATCCCTTGTCACTTGTGAAAAGAAGCTTGAATGGCTGTATGGTTGTAATGATAATTCGGAAGGAGAAAGATGAAACCATTTCTATATATGTATTTTCTCAAGTGCCAACTCAAAATGATAAAGAAAAATAGCAATTGTAATTGTAATTGATTTCAAAGAACTCAACACGAAGTTCAAGTCCATGACACCTCAACTTATTGCATACCTTATTCAAATAGTATTCCGACAAGGATTTTGTAGATCTTGCATTGAGGATGTGAGGATGTGTGAAAGGACCGCTATTTTTGAATTGACCCGTAAATTTTATACGGAGCAGCCAATTGATAGCCAGTCTCGAGCCAGTGATTACTACTCTGTACAATACTAAAAGCTTGAATCTGGTCTGACAGCAGGAATTTGGCTTTCCTACCACGTTGGCGGAAACGAAATAGATCTCCACCAAAATACAAGCCTTTTTCGAGCCTCTGTTGAGTAACATCTCGGAAAGTGTTTGGTACCCGGACCCCGCTTCTTTGTCGGCCACATATGATACAAACGGGCAACTTGTTGTCCCGAGTGAGGATTTGTGTGTAGATAATGGAGTGGAATTGATAGAAGGTACTCCGCGTTGAGTATGATCGTTCCAAATCAGTGAGTCGGTCATCACTTGATGAATAAGGTTAATTGACCCTGCTTGGAATGTCTGTTATTTCGAGGCCCAACTTTGGAACCAGGCATTGCCAAAAACAACTTGTATACCACGAATCTGACAGTTGCATGCTTCAAATAAATACTTTTGTAGATTACATGGGATAAAGTAATATTGTAGACAATCATGTGAAATATACATATCGAAATTAATAGTATAGACTGTTAGGATAGATACAGGCAGTGATATAGACATTGACAATCTTATCAATGTGAGCGTCTCAGCCTCTCCAAGAGAGTCTCCCTAGCAAGATTGCAGATATTGATATAAACATGACCAACGGTGATATTTGTTTTCATTTTCATATTACTTGGTATATGCTGAAATTAACGCAACCATTCTTATTGATAGAGATATTGTAATTCAAATGGACGATTGATACATTAGCAAACCTCACATTTACACCATCACATATGTCGCATGTCAATCAGATAGGTAGTTGGGAATCATTAAATTTTCATAATCATAAACATCTAGCTGTGTGTAGGCATTGAAACATCAGCAGACTTAGAAATTGCATCCTCGCTCCTCCACAAACTGGTAACTGTCTTTTGCTGCGTGTAGAATTGTAGTCCTGGCTTGCCATAAAATGTATTTGCACCACCTCCAGCAACACTCTTCTTGTTTCCGGTGAAGGAGAAGAATGGAAGAGGGACAGGGATTGGTACGTTGATTCCTTGCTGTCCTGCCTCGATGTTCTTTTGGAACGCTGTTGCTGTGGCTCCAGATCGTGTGAAGATAGCTGCACCATTGCCGTACTCATTGGCGTTGATGAGATCGATGGCTTCGTTAAGAGTGTCCACATTCAAGCATACTAATACCGGGCCGAAAATTTCTTCCGTGTAGCACTTCATATGAGGTTTGACGTTGGTGATGATGGTAGGGCCAACCCAGTTTCCGTTGGGATATTTTTCAGGCTTATAACCTCTACCATCCAACAAGATTGTTGCACCTTCCTCTTCTGCGCTTGCAATCAAATCTTCGATTCTTTGCTTGCTTTGTGGAGAGATGACTGGACCAAGATCCGCCCCCTTTTCAAATCCACCATTCACATTTAATGATTTGGCACTTTCGGCTAGTTCAGATAACCATTCCTTAGTTTCTCCAACCATGACTAAGGTACTCAAAGCCATACATCTTTGGCCAGCTGCTCCAAAAGCTGCTCCGACAATTGAATTAAGGGCATGTTGCTTGTTTGCGTCGGGTAAAACCGCACAGTGGTTCTTGGCACCCAAGTTTGCTTGCACGCGCTTGCCATTAGCAGAACCTCGGGTAAAAATGTATTCTCCAGCACGATTGCTTCCAACAAAACTAATGGCTTTGATGGCTGGTTCATCGATAATAAAGTCAACTGTTTTCGATGCACCATGGACAATATTGAGTACTCCATCGGGGAATCCAGCCTTTTGGGCGAGTTCAGCAAGAATCATTGCCGCACCAGGATCTCGTTCGGAAGGTTTAACAATAAGACAATTTCCAGTTGCACACGCAATTGGAATAGACCATAATGGAATCATTGCAGGAAAGTCTATTGGTCGTTAGTAGGTTCTAAACCTTCAAATTGCTCTAAACTTACTGAATGGGCAAATGGCAGCTACAACTCCTAATGGCTCCCTGTAACTTCTGGTCTCCATATCTTTTGCTACCTCTATGACCTCACCCATCATTTGTTGGGGAATGGCACATGCGGTCTCGGCGACTTGCAATCCACGAAGAACGTCTCCCTTTGCGTCTGCCCGTACGTCAGTCCTGAAATTCAAAGGTATACCATTGGGGACATACCAGCAAAAGTTTTACCCTGCTCCAATGTGATACTGGCAGCCAGTCTATCCCAATTTTCCCGTACTAGCTGTGTGAATTTGAACATAATTTGTTGTCTTGCCATTATGCTGGTATTTTTCCACCCTGGGAATGCTTTCACCGCACTGTCAACTGCAGCTTTGAGCTCAGCATCTGTACTTTGTGGTACTCTTGTTACGAGATTGTTTGTTGCTGGGTCGTGTAAATCGATGAATTGTGTAGATTCGGATTTGAGGAATTTATTGTCGACAAAGTAAGGAGTATCCTGCACATCTTGAATTTTCTCGTGAGTTGTAGGATAATTGTCGGCATTGAATGCTAATGCTGCAGCAGGTTTGAGATGTTGAGCTGTGGTATGGAGTCTGCGAGTAGCAATTTTGGAGGTCTCAGAGGAGGATGGCATATTGAATGCTACTCTGGGTCGTACTGCAGAGGAGGTATGTCGGACCGCGGCAGTTGAAATACCTTTGGTTAAAGTTCGACGCATTTTTGCTCACAAAGTCTGTTTGAAATAATATTTGAAGAGAACTCAGTCGTATCCCTTCAAAGTATCGTGAATCGTCACATCAAGAACAAGCGCAGCTACTTGTAGTACTCGGGTGAGTGGGTTGTAAACTGGGGTTCCGAGCTCTTAGTAGCGGCTTAAGATAGCCGAATGCGGAGAAATTGGTTAGACTTTCCTATCTTGGCTCGCCGTGATCAAATCCAAGGTGTATCAAAATATTTTGTACGTAATTCTCAAAGATTCGAGGGTTATGATGGTTGATATCCACGGACGTGAAAGATATGAGAGATATGAGACACCGGAACATTGATAGTCATATATTATTATCTAAGTTCTTTGTTGAAAATATCGAAGATTATCATTACAGTACAGTACTGACTTGACAAGGTCATTTGCGCCTAAGCGAAACTTGAGACCTTACCTCGCGCCAGCAGGACGAAACCTCCGAGACAACAAAAATAAAGATTTACTTCGATATTCGATCTAAAATCAGACAGTCAATTTTTCAATTTTATGTTAAGATAAAGATATCGAAAAGCCTTTAGTTCATTTGAGTTTTTTACGTTTTTTATATACTTAATTTACTATCCAAAAGTCCGCGTTTTCATTAGTTGTGTTAGTAATTTAGTGTACTGTTACTTTCGTAAATCCTCAAAACTTCAACTGTATAACATAACAAGTGGTGTTATTCTGATATTCCCATCTTCTGAATATGTGTAATATGTGTAGTATGATATCGTCTTCGGCATTGGAATATCAATCAACCTTAAGTCGGGTGGGAGGATTGTGAGGAGAATCGGACTAGATAATTGGATTCTAGTGTGGGCCAAGACCATACTATACACTCAACAGAAATGAGTTGATCAGGAGGCATTCCGCTTCGGTATATGATCTTGCGTTGGGTGGTAAGAGATCTTGAGACATTGCTTTTAGGTAAGAATCTCTTCATCTTCTAATCTATGTATCGACCTTCTGAATATCCAACTGGCAAAGCCATATCTCAAAATATGAGTGGGCCTGGGATGATCCAACATCTTCGGCGTACCATTCTTGGATCTTGCGTTCTCGGAAGCGATCAAACCCATCTATTCGTGAACTGAGAATCTATACTGGCCATTCCTACATGGTTGAGGAAGACATGGATGCGTACAAAGATGGCATGAAAGTCATTTGCGTCCAGGTTTGCACGAAGTCAATTCCACCAGAATGCCAGTCGCATCTAGGAGTCATTGGTTCCATCGCTGTGCGGTTGCTTCTTTTATATTAGAAGACCTTGCGAAGGAGCTGTGAAAATAAGAAATCTTCCATGGGATATTAGAGAATTGACGACCTAAGATTTGAGTCGACCTGATAGATTTGCTGCTTGAGATGGCTCTAGGGCCCGTTAATCAATGGTCAATAACCAGTGGACAAGAATTCAACGTAGGCAAATAAAGATAGGTATGTCCATATATAAGAGAAGATCGATGCATGGCTAGTGGTTCTGACCAGTGTATTAATCATCGCCTTTTTTTCTTTTTTGACTAGACTACCTCTAACAATCGTTTAGTCAAACTATTTGGTGATCACATTTTGTCTATACGTCTTGAAGTTTACGAGTTACTTTCGAATAGCGAATTATACTATTTTGCATCGCCATTTAGATTATCTTCAATGATCAATATTGTATCAAATGTTGGACTTTCATTGGATAAACTAATTCTCAAGGTATAAACAGCAAGCCACTCTCAGGATGTCCTACCATCGCACGGCCTACTGAGATGCTCGGTTCAATCACATTTCAGTCAGTCGTATCATTTCCTCCAATATCTTGGTTGTGCCATCATGCTTGAGAATGATCTGTGAAAATATAAACATAGCCAGGGATGCACTTAACATCTTCTGTGCATCCTCATCCCTAGCACTACTGTGACCTTCGAAAACAGCCGTCCAAGAATGCCCCTTTATAAAATTGTCACCAAGGTTGTCGATCGCATCCTTGTTCCAATCAGCTGTGCCTTGCACAAGGTTTTTAACTCCTTCTTTCAATGACATAATCCTTTTGACACTATGAAGATATAGTATTAGTATTTCGAACTTCTAGTCGTAGAAATACACAAATGGCTGGCGTATATGTGAAGTTTCTTTGGGCAAAGTTATCAAACGGAGGAGCTATATTGCTTCAAATATTGAAATTTCATTGCATTTTTTCCCTCGTGAAAACTGCCATTAAATCCCTTATTGTTCTACCATCGTACAATTCATCACTTTATAACAATCTAGCATTAAAGTCTAGCCGTCTTACCCTCTTTATCCGCTTGCTCCCTCAACATCCTCTTTAGAATCTTCCCACTCGCATTCTTCGGAATAGCCTCTACAAACTTAACGCCCCCGGTTAATTCCTTATATCTCGCCAATCTCTCTCCACACCATTCTTTTACGTCTTTCTCCTCTAGATCCTTACTTTCCTCGCCAGGTCTCTGTACCACATAAGCTCTGGGCATTTCTCCATCTGCATCCGAACCCTTGACGCCTATAACAGCTGCATCTACTATCAATGGGTGCGAGAGAAGCACGGACTCAATCTCTGGCGGTGCAACTTGGAAGCCTCTTACTTTTATTAGCTCCTTTTTGCGGTCTACTATGTACCATGTTTTGGTCTTTGAGTCGCAGTATACGATGTCGCCGGTTTTGAAGAAGTTATCAGAGTCGAAGGATAAACGGTTCGCGGTTTCGTTTTCAACTGCGAAGAGGTTAATTTTATTACATTTATTCGGCCGGGAAAGCCTCTGATGGCCCGAATTCCAATTGAGTAAAGGGGGGATACATTCCCCACATCGGTTAAAACATTGAAATTGTGTGGAAGATTGATCTTATCAAGAACAGTAATAATTTTATCCAGTCAAATAATGATAAGAGTCTACGGTTCTTCAGATCTTGGGAGGTAATGTTTGATCTGCCAAGTCGAACTTTCGAATATTCTGACAAGGAAAACGGTGACTTACAGTAACCAGCGATGATGGTCGGACCGCGTACACAAAGCTCACCGCGGACTTCATAGGCTGTTATGTCATTGCCATCATCGTCGATAATTCTAGTTGATGAATCTATATCAGCATTTAATATTGAAGTAGGAAAATGGCAGAAAAGCATACTTCGCATCAATATTTGGCAGCATTCTCCCAACACTACCCGTTGTGTCGTCCTCCCAGAACCAGAACTGCGCACAGATACAAGTTGTCTCTGTCATTCCAAAAGCCTGAGTAAGTGTTGCTCCTGGAGCACATAACTGTTTCAATTTCTCTTGGGATTCTTTCCCCATAGGCGCTGCCCCGACTCCCGCGTGTTTGATGGATCTCAATTTATCTCCCGCGATACCGGACATGATGATTGCAATTGCGATGGGTGGGACTACCATTATTTCATTTATCTGGTATTACTCTGCATTGTTGAGATAGGGGATAAGTTCGAAGCGACGCATTACGACAGAGACATGACCACCCTTCAGGGCGGTTGTATGAGCAACTGTTTTCTGTTTTAGCGATTCTCTGTCAATAGTTCAATGATGGGCTACACACCAGGGACACAAGCTACATGAAACATCGGTAGTGCTAGTATTCGACGAATCTGAAATGATTTCGTCAGCATCTAGAACTTGTGATGAATGGACCTAGGAGCGCATACAGTATACGGTCTCGGCGCTTGTTCATAAGCAAGAACACTGTTGACGAACAGGAAGTTAGTATTGCCTATCAATAGCAGGTTTTGAACGAAAACTAGCAACAAAGGTTACACCAGGAAAGAGAAACAACGGATCTAATGAGTGGGGCTTATGATCCGGGGACAGAAGTAGGTGCCAAATACTGCAAGACTTGTGAACCGTTTACGTACTGCTGCGCAACTTAATTGAAATGGGACAATGCCGCTGCTTTCGGTGGTCCTGTCGTTCCGCTACTAAATAACCTAGCAGCAGTTGTCTTCCTACTTGTATCTTCATTGTCGAATCTTACCCAGTCTTCTTCGCCATGCTTCATCAAATCTCTAAAAGATTTGAAAGAATCAGGAATCGTCTGTCCGAGGACATCAAAGATCCAAATATTTGAAGAATGGATTTTACATTCTTTGGCAGCGATTAGAACATTCGTAAGAATCTCAGGCTCTGCGATAAGAAACTTTGCTCGCGAAGTTTTTATATGATGAGTTAATTCGTGAGAAGTATATGATGGATTTGTGCCCGTAAATACTCCACCCGCTGCTATGATGCCTGTATTTATATGATGTGAGTGAAAGTAAAAGTAGTGACTTGACATAAGAATGGAGTACCTAGAAAGATCATGGAATAATAGATCTGCGTTTGTACGGTTAGAGACTTTCAAAACTAGAGGGACTCAAACTTCTCACATCGTTAAACGAATGTAAGCACACGCAGTCACCCTTTTTCAAACCAGCAGCATGAAATCCCGTGACTAATTGACGGATGATGATTCGAGCTTGGCTTGCAGATATGGATCGAGAGGGATCCGCCGCATCGATATATATCTACAAATATATCAGTATATGACAATCTCAACCAACTCGCAGGAGGATATCTTACTACAGCATCTTGATCATAGGGAACGTTATCAAATGTCCATGACAAGAGATCTTTTGTAGGTATACCCACTGTCTTCTCAGCTAGAAATACCATTTTGACGTTTGAGTATTGATGTTTTTAGTTGGTTTCGAGTTATACAGAAGATAAACTAATAACGGGCAAGAAGAAGTAAAGAGATCATCAAGTAGATATTGTCAAGCACTGCCAACTGTTGTACTACAAATTGTGATGATTTAGTGAGTGAGATACGTTGAAGATTGAGTATCAAGGCTTTAAGTTGTAATAGTTCTAGCCGACTCTGTTTAGCGGCCGAGTAGTTCCTAGTTGGGGAAAGCACTTGTCTCGGGAAAGCACTTGTCCCTCAAACTACCTCGATCAATCTTTGGACTACAAAAATTATCTTATCACTATCCCTGAACTGTCTCATTTGATTCGGGTCCAACAATAGCTATGGAGTATATCATATTGGCTTCCAAACCAATAGTTGTATACATTAAACAAAGATTTTGTAACAAAACATTCTTATTTTGATGAAAAACACATCGAAAAATGCTAAAGTATCAAGTACTTTTCCCGAATAAGGGAGCCGACTATTGGACCATCAAAAGTTGGGGGCCCTGTCTTGGTAGGGCTGGCTATGCGCGCACGCGGACGGCGGTACATAATGCTCAGGGGCGATCGCCATGCAGTCATACTCTACACCGATATCCGAAGAAGATTGAATCGGAAACTCCATCAATAAGACGAAGATTTCAAATGCCGACATATGTAATACCTATCAAAAGGGGGTTTCGGCTGTTCAATGTAAAGTATTCTAATGGCAAACCTTATTTCCAACATGCCATGACAGCCACCTACCTACCTACCTACCTACCTACCTACCTACCTACCTACCTACCTACCCACCCAGGTATTTGAAGTTGATATCTGAAGTTGATACCATAGCTTATTTCAATGGTTGAGGTAAATCTAGATGTCCATGATGCTTTTCGAGTCACTTTAATGCAGAGTATCTCACCAAGAAATTGGCATTAAGGATTGACAACGCAACTACAAAGCTATCGAGTGTCCAAGTTAGCGCCAAATATTCACAATGGGAATTTGGGGCTCATTTCCATTAACTTTTCTTGGTCTGGTAGGTAGAGTTAAGTCATTCGGAAAATAATAGCTAGCGTATTCATAAAGGGTTCAATTGCTTTCCAGCAAGTGTCAAAACTTCCCGTCTGTTGCATATCTTAGCTCAGGATCAAAAACAGGGAAATCATAATTTACTCAGTCAATAACTTGATATGAAGATAATGAAACGATAGCCCAAAGTTTGTTTGTTGTTTTCTGGAGTTCAAAGCGGCTGAGAATTGCAAAGCCCCATTCATCTCTTGTGCCAAGCCAGCAAACAGGTTTTGAGGAACCAAAGAGGTCATCGGCATCATTCACTGCCAGCCACACCGTGTGAATAATCTGGATATATTTATCGTGAACAATACCCCCATATCAAATCTCAACCACAACATTCCACAAATACAAACACAAGCAATATCTCCATCTTGTTTACCAGCCACTGCCCGCACAACAAACCAAGTCACATACTCATACCACATAACTCGCAACTATGCCTTTGTTCTGGTCTAAAGGAGTTGGAGGCAGAAGATTCGGTGCAAACATTACTGCAGATAGACATGGTGTCAGAAAACCTGTCTGGCGTATGCGTCTTTGCGGACTCAACTGCTTTCGTTGAACAGCAGTATGTTTTGTTACATCTCCACTATTATCAAGAAGAGACATTCTAACAGGATATTAGTCCAAAGCACCTTTACAACGCATCTTGCGATTAGTAACGAGAAACGATACCATGAATTTCTTTGGGCGACGACATAGGGATTGAATGGGAGACAACTTTTGAGTTTGATGTGACGGAAAGGCGTTGGCGAATGGCTTTCGGATATCATATGAATCTTCTACAATCAAGTAGCCTGTTTCAAGATTGCAATATGGCAATTAGTTTTCATGATGGGATGAGGAATAGCATTTAGCGAATAATATCATATTGTCACTTCAGTATAAGGGGGCCGACGACGGGTATAACGAGTGAAGTGAAGAGTACTCCGTTGTATCTCATATGGATTAATAAAATGCCCCATTTGCTAGCGCTATCTACGATATGCCCGACCCCATTATTTTCTTATCTGAGTCACGTGTTGATAGATAGTGAAATTATTTTCAAGTTTGTGACGGCATTACTTTTCTTTTCCAATATCTGGTTCAAAACAATATACATTCAAAAATACAATGTTATGCAACGTCTCGCATCTTTTGTCATGACATCAATTCCCAAGAAAGTTCCTATCCCTAGGAAGGGGGTAGACTATAGAGGCAAGGTTGTACTGTAAGTCAAATGTGTCACAAATGACAGTTAAAAATTAAATTAACGTTGCGAAATAGTGCTCCTATGGTGAGGTCCGGTGAACTCCCTTCACGACTACTTGCTCTCCACTATGGAGCAGATTTAGTCTGGGGTATGAGATTCCATGCTCGTGCTAGCTGGCCACATAAACTGACAAGATTATAGGCCCTGAAACGGTCGATCGATCCATGATTGGGACGACACGCAAAGTTAACAGTCTTCTTAACACAATCGATTTTACCCGAATTCCATCTCAAGGCCACAAAGAGAAGAATGCAAATCTAAACGAAAGTCTTATCTTTCGCCTACATCCAGAACTTGAAGGCAAAAAGCTCATATTTCAAATCGGCACATCCGACCCTGAACGAGCAGTACAATGTGCGCGTATAGTGGCCGCAGACGTGGCAGGCATAGACGTAAATGCAGGATGTCCGAAACCCTTTAGTACAAGTGGCGGTATGGGGGCAGCTCTCTTACAGACCCCAGATAAATTATGCGCCATTCTCGAAGCTTTGGTCAAGGAAATTGTGCCGGAATTCGAAATTGGAATCAGTGTGAAGATTCGATTGCTGGAAACTGCTGAAAAGACTGAGGCCCTGGTACGGAAGCTTTGCGCTACTGGAATTACAGGACTCACTATTCATTGCCGAACTACGCCAATGCGCCCAAGAGAGAGAGCGATTCGAGAGCAACTCAAAATGATTGCAGATATCTGTCGGGAAAGTGGAGTCGCTTGTTTGATGAACGGAGACGTGGAAAATAGAGATCAAGCATTGAAATTGGCCGAAGAGTACGGTACAAATGGCGGTATGATCGCTGTGGCTGCCGAAGCAAACTCAAGTTGTTTCAGAAGTGAAGCCGACGGTGGTCTAGCGCCCTGGGAGGAGGTGGTCCACCAATACATGAAATTCTGCCTGGATACAGAGAACAGATTCGGAAATACGAAATATCTTTTGAACCACCTGATACCGGGAAAAGAACCTGTTTATAGAGCTGTTCAGCAGTCTAAGAATTACCAACAACTATGCGAGCATTTGAATCATAAAGCTTTTCTCGAGCAGGCAATCGATGTGGACGAGAAGATTGGGATCTCTGATAAGCAGGTCGAGGAGCATAAATTAAAGCAAGCGCAAGCAAAGGCGGAGGCAAAAGCAGCAAAGAAAAAGAGAAAGAATACTGAGGATGATGGAGGAGAGCAAAAGAAAAGTCGAAGTCTTGAGGATCCAGCCGATCCTTCGTCTTTGGGAGAAGCGGAAAATGCACCTCTTACTGAACTCAAGTCAGGGATGGCCATCAGTGCTTGAGATTGGTTTGGTGCGTATAGCCATGCATATATTTAGGTTATAAATGAATCTGGGGAGCATTGCGAGACTTTAGTTTATCTCAGTGATGTCGGAAATGGAAACAAGGGGGGCGTTCTGGGTTTAACCGAGAAGATATACGCATTTACATGGAGTTCCACGCACTTGAAAGAATATATACAAATTACTCTGTCATATAGGAGGAGTATAAGCAGTTATTATTTTCGAATAACATACAAATTAGATACTTGCAGAAATTCATGAAATTGCAGTGCCATCATGGATCCCACTTTTGTTATCTAGGTAGTCATGCAGCCTGCTTGGAAAACAATATACGGCGTGCCTCCGCCGACAACAGATCTTAATCTTGGAATTTACCAAAAGTAACGCCACGACATTCTGCACTGATCGATCTGCATCTTTATTAGGCGGCCGAGTATCTAGTGTGCCTGCTAGCGGCCCGGAGACACTATCATACCGAGCACTAGTATCAGAGTGGACAAAATGGCTTGTCTAGACTCCAGCTAGCAAGTTAGCGGCAGACGTCATACTTGGAACATTAATAAAGGCACCTACATGTATGGCTTAACAACGCCCTTCTCACAATACAGGTATTTTCCTTGCTCACGTCTTCTCTTACCGCCTTAATCTTTCAGTTTCCTCTCTGCACATTTTGTATATATCCGCGATTCGAAAACCATGTCTACAAACGTCGGAATGTCCTCCTGCTGTCTGTCGGGCAAAGTGCACGAAGGCACGCCCACAGGAAGGATCGAAGTAATCAATGATCTCTCCACCTACATTGCGGAGCCCCAAGACGGCTCGAAAGCCAAGACAATCATCATTCTAGTCGACAGTACGTGCATCCACTGACAGCCCCATTTCCATTCCCGTCCCCACTAACCCCTTCACCAGTGTTCGGCTACGAATTCAAAAACGTCCGTCTCCTAGCCGACAACTACGCCAAAGCCGGTTTCTACGTATACATCCCCGACGTTCATCAAGGAAACAGCATTCCGCTTTCCTTTCTGCAGAGCGTCGAGCCGCCCCTCCAAATCCGGGAGCAGCAATCGCTATTGGAAAAAACCAAGGCCACGGGCGTGGTGGCCACCACGCTGCCGCCCTGGCTCGTCAGACATCGCGAGGGAGTCACCAGACCGCTTATTTCCTCCTTCATCGCGCACATTCGCGGGCTTCCTGGTACGGGAAAGGTGGGCGCGTTGGGATTTTGCTGGGGAGGACGCTATGCGATATTGGCTGCGCATGGAGAGGTTGATGCGGCGGTGGCGTGTCACCCGTCGTTGGTTTCTGTGCCGGCGGATTTCGAGAGCGTGACGAAACCGTTGAGTTTGGCGGTGGGGGATCAGGATAGTTTGTTGGATCGGGGGACGGTGGGGCAGATACAGGATTTGATGGCGGGGAAGACGGAGTTGCCGCATGAGTTGAGGATTTACGAGGGGCAGATTCATGGGTTTGCGTTGAGGAGTGATTGGGGTTCGGGGAAGGATAAGAAGGCTATGGATGATAGTGAGGAGCAGGGCATAGAGTGGTTTAATAAGTATCTTGCGTAGCGCAAGCTGGACTTTATGGTATCTGAGGAATCTACGGTACTTGGGGATCTACGATTGGAGTATCGAGAGATTGTTAATGAGGATTTAATCTATATATATTACTTTAATAAGAAACGAAGATGTTTATAATAAGAGACAACTTTGAGTAATTGTACGTTACCTTTAGTGGGTATATATGTTATTGGGTGGGTGCACGTTAATATTGACATTTGAATGTTTTGAATGCTTCAAATACTTTGAGTTTGAAGACTTTGAATGGTTTGAATGCCTTGAATGATTTGAAGACTTTAAATGTTCCAAATACTTCAAATACTTTAAAGACTCTGGATGTTTCAAATGCTTCAGATCTTTAAAATGCTCTGGATGCTCTTATAGGCCTGCTTGCATATTTCGAGGCGTAGGCTATAACAATAAGGAGATCAAATTGTATGTATACTAGCTTATTGATCGAATTTTAATGTGAATTTAGTTCTACGAATACCCTCATTCTCTTCCTATTTAGCTATACCCTAATTTATACAGAAATCCAGTTCGTTGACCAATCACGGGATTGGTCAATGCCCCGTAACATATGAAAGACATGAAATCTAGACGACTCAAACTTCCGCTCCTAAGAATTTGGCACGCCATTCGTAACACTTCCATATGGCTCCGCAGGATAATCACCAAAGCAAGCATACTCATACTGAGCATCCTTTGTCGATCTACTCTGCACGTCCAAAAACGTATCCAACTCGCACCATCCATCCAATCTATCTGCTCCACACTCTGGGAAACTGAGCCCTAAAGGTAGCGTTCTCTGATTGAGGATAAAGTGTACATACGTAGTTTCCTTTCCATCTACGTATGTCCTATCTGCTGCTAAAGGTTTTGGTGTCTTGATAATCTCTATATCTAATCTTGCGCCAAAGGGTTCCATGTGCGAAACGGTCAGATTGTGCGGGCCAGGATGATGGGTAGCTGGTAGGGCTTCGGCGAATTGTGTGAAGCCGAAAGCGGTGAGAATAGACATGATGTTTGTGTCGTGGGAGAAATCAAAGTAGATGGATTGGTTCAAGGGAAAGGTGGCGGTGTTATTGTCCAAGGTAGTGTTGATTTGGGAGCCAGAGTAACCCAAGGTATGGTTTTGAAGACGGGCGACTACTTCTTGAACGTAGCCGATTCCAACAGCGCGACCAGTAGGAGAAGCGAAGGAACTTCCACCCGCAAAGTAAAGGTCAATTGCGTATTCGAAGCCGACCCATTCTTCATAGGTGAATAGATTGCAGAAGGCACTGTAGCCATACGCCACCTACATCATGTTAGATCGTTGGGATCAGATATAAATAGAAACATTATACTCACAGTCTCATATGGGCACATAGTTTGTGCTGCGTAGGTATCTACGACAGTCCAATTGAACTCCGGCGAGACCATGGATTGGAAACGAGCGGTGGCATTCTGTAGATATGTAGCCACCCATTGGTTTGTAGCATTGTTTCCTCCGGCACTTCTATAGTTATTTGCATTAGGACAATTATCGTAACCTGCCAAGCTGTTATTGTAGCCAGTCGATTCAATGATGACTTCAATAGTGACGTTATTTGTCCATTCGAGACCAAAGAATCCAGCCATGAAGTATTCAGCGCTCTACCATCAATTAGTGTCATGTTAGAAATTGCGGAAGTGACAACAAACCTTGAGCATTCGATCTTGAGCGGTAGTTCGAGCGATAATTTTGCTGTGAGGGTTATATAATTGAGCATATTGATAATAGTGCAAAATACCACTGTCGTACAGTTCTTGTCTTCCACGAGGGACAAGAATCTCATGACCTAATTCGTACTTCCAGTCATTCAAAAATGATAGAGCCCCAGTGGCATCGATTTTCCCCGTGTAGTTTGCGACCTTTTCACCAAAGGTTGCAACATTACTTCCGGAAGTGGGATAACGTGCTCCATGGCGTGAAAGCATCTGGAAGTTGTCAGCATATATGACAGTTCTGTATGATTTAGAAACACGTTGTCGAAGCTTTTAAATGTACATAAAGAGCTTGAACAATGGTTAAACTCTCTATGTAGTCTCTGAAAAATGAGTGTACATGTCTCGACTGAGATTGATCATACATATAATTCCACTGGGAATTCGTTGAGCATTCAAGTAAACTTGATTTGAGACTGATAACGACGTGAATTTTCGAATATCTGAAATTCTTACTTGAAGTTGAGCAATCTTAGCTCCAGGTGGCAATGGATATTCTGCAACACCGAATCCAGATGGATTGGGCAAGTAAGGAGTGAGATGTCCCATAAGCTGGAAGATACTTTCATTTCGACCTTGGCCTACTATAGGCTGGGCAGTCTCGAGAGGAGTATTTGGCACGAAAGTCACAGTTGGTGCAAACGAGACTGGATTTGTCTGGGCCTAAATCGAACAGTAAATTAATTTTGAATTCATAGAGATTTCTCATAAACCTCAAGCCAGGCGGGTTGATCCTTTTCTTTAACTTACTAGGAAAGGAGCTCTACCCGTCGCTGTTGGTCCGGCCCAAAGTTCGGGAGTTGTCTGAAAATACTGTGGAACATCGTTTGTCGAAGTTGAACATGGCTGTTTCTCAGGAAGCAAGGCCGAGGCCGTCACACCGGTGAGGGACAACAAAAGGATTTGATCCAAGAGCATGATGTACGAAGCGTATAAGAAAGCGCAAATAACGAGAAAGAGCGCAATCTTCCGAAACTTCTCGGTATGATGAGGTTTCGAGCTTCCCAAATACTTGGAGCCCTGGAAGCTTGACCTCCCTTTATATTGCGGCATAGCTTCTCTTCAAGCTACCACGTGCGATGCTGTGCAGTTCTATTAGTTCATCAATTGTGATATTAACCTTGCGAGTGCTTTATCAGTAAGCGTTATCGAAGCAGGTACGGGGATATCGGTGCATTAGTGAAGAGGGGGGAAAGTATATATTCCTGTTGTATCGTTGTACCGATGGACTTTTGGATTGTTGCTGGATGGGATTGGAAGGGGTAAATGTACGAAAATGCACGGTGATGTTGTCTATCCAAGCTCTTCCTCAGGGTGAAATGCCTGAGTGCCCGTGGTCGTGGTTATGGCGATGGTAAGACAATGGATGTGAATGTTAAAATGGCAGTGGCTGGGAAGACAATAATATAAGATAAATCGTGATGCTCACTCCTCGAGGGACATGTGAAGTATCACGACTTTATACTCGTGCTAATGAGTACTTGGAAATGTCTATATATCTGTGAAAGATGGACATACCAGGTACTAGGTAGATATATATATATATATATATATATACCTACCTATATCCTTCATTAACCACTCATAAATAAGGTTACGATACCATACAACAAAATAAACAAAAGTCTCTCATTCTCTCCAACTCTATTACAAGAGCGTTTAAATTCAAAAGTATATATACCTATATATATAATGTTAATCCATTTTCAACTCATTTTCATTCATTCCAATCATAATGTCACCCTATTCGTTGGAGAGAAAAAACAGACCGGAGTTGACCACTGGCGAAGCTCTTCAACGTTCCAATTGTTCTATTTCAGTTCAAAGAATCAAAAGCTTGAAAAGTCTGATAACTGAAGACTATTCAAAGATCTGTTTAATCGTATCAACTATCACAATTTTATTTGTGGTTGATTTAATATAGAATTTATCGGGGTAATCAATTCTGGCCTCTTTTCTCCTACGCATAGTCACCTACCTTCCTATGTATCTCATTATTCATCACAAACCCATTTTCATTCCAATTCGTTAGGTATCACCAGCCAGTTATAATGACGTAAATGCGGAATCGAGTATCGTAGTCAACTTAATACAACCACCCATCAGTTGCCACAACTTTTATACATCAGAAAGGTAACCATAGTACCTTAGAACTTAATTGCTCACCCGGTGTATCTTTTACAAACACATAATAAATCATACATTTTCCCTAGCTCCGACATACTCACTCACACACGCCCTCACACATATCAAAATGTCATTCGAAGGAGTTCCTGACAAGATGCTGGCAGCACAAGTCGTTGAAGTAAGTGTAGTATTTCTTTTCAAAAATGCACTCTGATACTCTTATCAAAAGAAACCATTCGGGTGAAAAGAAAATCAAGGATGTAGTCACCCGAACACAAGAGATAGTAGGTTAGGTTAACACATCATTCAGTTCAATAAACCCTACAAGATCCACTACATCCCCACTCCACGCGGTCCCCTCCACGAACACGATATACTAGTACGTGTGGCTGCAGCATCTCTCTGTCACACAGATGGCATGGTGACGGAAGGCATAATGGGGACATCGCTCCCTTGTATCGCCTCGCACGAAGGAGCCGGCACCATCGTTGCCATAGGCTCTAGTGTGTCTGGCTTCAAGCCAGGAGATCGCATTCTGTGTAGCTTGAATTATCATCGTTGTGGCGTCTGTACTGATTGTACTGGGCCCGAGCACGAGCAGCACTATTGTGCTAGTAGCGGAGGATATCTCGGAATTCACAGAGATGGCTCTTTTGCTGAGTATGAGGTTGTAGACGGGAGGGAGTGCAGTTTGTTGCCGGATAATCTGAGTTTTGAATCGGCAGCTCCGTTGGCTTGTGCTGGAATCACTATTTGTAAGTCTGCATCTCATGTTATAATTCACAGGGTATTCAATAGTCCGGAATGCAGCCCAACAATACAAGGTTTTGAATTTAAAAGCAACTGGAAATTTGAAAATAGTTCAATATTTCAATCAAATTCAATATCTCAAATGGTCTGGATGTTCTAATTAGTTTGGGGATATGATAATCTTCATTGTTTGACTGCAGTCCAGACTATTGGACACCCTAGAACTTCAACTCCTGAATCCAAATTTATGCGATACTAAACCTTTTGCGAAATTAGGGGGCGGTCTCGTGAGAGCGGGCTTGAAAGCAGGAGAATGGATCGCAATAGTAGGAGCGGGTGGAGGTCTAGGTCATTTGGGGGTTCAGTTTGCTAAAGCACTAGGTCTCAACGTCATTGCGGTTGATGCCAGAGACGAAGCGTTACAACTTGCTAAAGATTGTGGCGCTGATGTGCTGGTAGATGCACGTCAAGAGAAAAGCAAAGTCGTAGAGGATGCCCAAAAGGTCACGGGTGGCCTAGGGGCAGACTCGACTCTCAACGTTAGTGATCATGAGAGCGCTGCAGCAACAGCGGTCGCGGTTACAAAGAGGCGTAAGTCGTTTTCCGCTCTACAATATGCCTAAAGATATTATGACGTTGATAAGGATGAGTTCCTTGCTACTCCGTCAATTCTAATGAGAAAGGTTGCTGACCCCACGTTCGCCAAAATAGACGGAACGATGATTCAGATTGCTCAGCCCGAGAAAATTAGCGTCCCCTTTGAAGATGTGATTTTTCGGGATATCAGAATCCATGGGAGTCTTGTTGGTAAGTTGACGTGGTCCCTGGCCCCCACAATCATTATCTGACCAGGAGTGTAGGATCCCAAGGCGAAGCACAAAAAATGCTAGAATTAGTATCAAAGCACAACATTAAAATTCAAACAAACCCATTTAAAGGCTTGGGAGAGATTCCCAAGGCAGTGGAGCTCGCTCACTCAGGCAGAATGAAAGGAAAACCTGTCATCTTAGTGGATGACGAGGCCATTGAAAGAGAGAAAAAGTCGGGACTACAAATGATATGAGCAGGGGTTTGAGAGATCTCTCCCTCGCTACCATCTTTCGCCCTGAGTTATCGTGGAAAAGATATGATAACGGATCCGATACAAATGTCTAAGGAATTCAGGAACTTTGAGGGGATAATAAATAATATTTTTGTAGCGCTACCTTGAAGTGCACTAGAACAATTTGAAAAATATAGATAGCACATCTCAGCACCTCTACAGTATCCCCTTCTAGTCTAGTAACGATGTTTTCTAAACATTATACGCCAAATGGTATCTGGTATGAAACAATATTTCAACATTCCCAAAAAAAATACAGTAAAAGAATTCTGCAAATAGAACACGAATCTGACGGTACCTGACCATGAGATGATATACACGAAGATAAGAAAATAACAAACAATGAATTCTAACCTTCCACTGTCGACCATAAGTCAATCTTGTCTGGCAAGCCTTACTTCATGGCGCGTTTTCCACGTCGATCACTGGAACTAGCAGACCTGCCGGACCGCTTTCCCAATGTTGAACGAGTTGAGGAACCTCGTCTAGTTCTTAAAGAAGAATTGGGTACTCCGAGAGACGACGGGCCAGCTACGGCATACGACGAAGCGCTTGGTCCAACACTGTAGGGAGAGCTGAGGTCGGTAGAAGCAGCGCTTGCAGCCGGCATGGCTGACGAAACAGAAACTAGAGGAAGCCCATAATTTACTCTGAGCTTCGAAATGAGCTGTCCCAATCTATTCACATAGAGTCGTCTTGGAGAAACGAATGCTACACTGCTAAGGTCGGTACGAAGACGATCTAGGCGATTGACAAAATCACCTGCGGCAACGACGTTCCCAGGCAAAGATTCGAGCGCATCAATAATAAAGTCGCTTCTATCTGGAATATTCTCAGATTGTGGACCAAGTAAGTTCAAGTAGAGGTTTCGATTCGTTAATTGTTCTCCATGAGGTCTGCTGCGCCGAAAAGAATGATTAGAGTATACGTCGACGTTGCGCGAGCGAATAGCCTCCAGCATTCGGATTAACATTGCTGCTGCTTGTAACTGATTATTCCTACTCATACCGACTCTCCATCTCAGATTGTCCCTCATTGAATCACTAATGTGTATGAGAGCTTGAGCACACCATGGTACATTGTGTTCGAAATCAACATTTTCGAATGGCGTCATTGCATCCCAATTTGATGGGTTGCCAGAAGCTGCATAATCATCTAGCTGGCGGAGTGATTCGTTGAATTTGTCCTCCATTTTGTGTAGATACATAATATCGCGGCGCTCTCTGGGGATGTGTTGTTCAAATCGATGAAAGATGACATCATCTTGAGTCAGTAATTTGGCCAGAGTTGCTTCCAGGTTATAGGGAACAAGGACGGCGTCGTTGTGCACAGCGAAATCAAAAATATCTCGGTACTCGTCTGCCACTGCTTGTGGATGAAAAAATGATAACATATCCCTGACGTCAGCCTCCCTTTCGCGGGTTGTTGTACTTGTCCTTGGTCTCTCGTTCTTAAGCGACCATTGAGGGGCTGGAAAAAGATAAGGTTCGTCTGAGAAATCCCATCCAAGGTCGTCACATACGTTGGACATGCCACGCTCGTTAAGGCGTTCGTAACAGTCATCGCCGGCCTCTATGCCCATTGCCGACTTCAGCCTGGCAACGTGGAAGCAAAGCTCTTTTCCGCACGAGCACTTCTCTTCTCCTCCTTGCCTTAATGAGCCAATTCGAATACTGCGAGTTTCAACCTCCGCCACACCAACTTGGAAAGCGAAGTATGGACTCAGTTGCTCGCTTGACTGTCTCCTTGATCGTACCAATCTACAATGATCGACAGCGAGCACAGTATGCAGGGACTCATCGTCGGAATCTTCATCCTCCGAGAAGACGCCAAATTCCTGGGATCCCCTCTCTCTGCCCTGATTATGTTCTTCATCGCCGTCGTCATTATCAGGGTATCCTGAATGGTTGCTATCGCTATCAGAATCCCCGTCACCAGAAGTAACTTCTCTTCTCAAGGGCTCATGGGAGTAGATCTGACCACTCCGTGTTGCATGCATGGTCTTGCTGATGTAAAGGTCGCAGAAATTTGGAAGCGGGGACGACATGAAGGTAAATACGCGTAGGATATCAATGTGTGAGTCCCATGATGATGCTGACGACTTTGTGACTTATATATCTTACGAACTTGTGCTTTCTCCCTCCTTCTACCTATAAACTTTTTCGTCATTTTGTTAGTATGCAGAGGATTAGAAGCAATGGATGCTCAGCCTTTGGAATAGTAACAAAATTTGGTATCATTAGTAGGTCAAAAATGCGGTCGCATGGGCCCTTTTAGAGGTCGGCTGGGTAGGAGGACAAGGCATTCATATGAATAAGATGTATGATGTACGATGTAGACTTGTTGGCACTCTATTACTTTACCATTTTGGTAATAGTTTGCGATGCACCTAGCATAATCAAGTAGAGGTATGGAGTCAAGCCACAATAGTCGCTTGCGGCGTTAAATTTTGGTTGGACGATACTGGCTCGAGACTGGATGATGTTATTGGAATGGGAAAGATGGGATGGCGGAGAAATTCCAAAAGCACAGACGGAGAGACCAACTGACGGAGAGCCATACAAAACCCCGAAACAACAGAACAGCCGGATAGATTACATACGATAAGCGACCAGTCTCGAGCCAGTACACACAAGTATCTAGGTAGTAACCAAGAGGTGGACCAGGCTGACATTCGAGCTGATTGAAACATTCAACCAATTAAATTCATGAAATTCCTTCAAAAGATCTATAGATGAGGTATGTCTATATTCAGTGCTGGAGGACCGTAAGGCTCACTCCTTCAATCCTCGATTCATCCAATTCCCCCTTCATCATTAATTCGCCTACTTTTTGCCATCGCTATGCCACCGTTGTGCTAATTGCAACAATCATTACCGCAAAAGGAGTGAAGAATGAAATAAGTGGTCATGGAAATAACTCAACGTTCATTATGGATCGCCCCGGGGTCGACTGTTAACTGCAGAAGGGGGATTGAGGATTGCGGGATTGTGGCCTGGAGTTGGACGCTGGGCACTCATCACTACTCAATTGTTAATGGTCAACATTACGACGAAAGAAATGAAAAGTATGACACTTAAGCACTCAAGAAACTTTCGGAGTTGGTACATTGCAGTAGTGTATTAGGCCACTCTCTTCACCACCCCGTATTGTTTCCAATCGAAGTTAGAAGTTTCAACCGAAAAAAGAAACAAACGCGTTATTCCTGCATGTTCGGGCACTCTTCCGCATCATTTGAATGTCAAGTGACAAGATGAAGGTGGTAAGGATATTACTATGTTCGTGGCGCAGCGCGGCAAGTGGGCCACAAAACTCATTTCTCATCCACATCTTCGCATGGCAGCAAATCTTAAACTAGCATGGCAACTCTCGACGCATTCAAGTTTCCAGGAACTTCTAGAGGTCTTCCGGCTATGATACGGTACTGATGTAACCTGTAAGATTTTGGAAGTTACCAAACTGCCGGTACCAAATCATTCAGCTTGTGATATTTCTACCAATCATACAATCATCGCGAGCATGGCATTTGGAGGCATCAATGGTGATATCGTCTTTTGCAGATGGGATTGGGTATCAGCATGTAGGCACAGTGTTACTTTAAGAACATAATCCACAAATATCGAAATAGAGTTACCCCTCGGTGTGACAGATTTCAGAAAATCGTTTCATATTTTCATCATATGTTTGTCATTCATATCTCAGCTCTGTTTAATGGTGCTTGTAGAAATCCTCACAAGAATTCCCCCTGCATGATAACTTATGTGTGGCAAATGCAAGTCGTCCTCTCTCCCACTATGACAGATCAAGTACGACTCTTCCTTGCATTTTACCCTCCGACATCTCCTTGAACACTTCCGTCAAGTTCTCCATCTTCTCCATTCGAATACGAGTCTTGATAATTCCCCGGGCCGCCATCTCTAGTACCTCCAATGCTTCACGTTGGTTACCTACTGCCGAACCCTTGATTTTCCATTCTTGGGCGACCTGTTGATATTAGCGCATGTTACAAATGTGATAACGGGTATCTTTACCATGGCTGCAGGGAATGAGTTGGCTATAGGTTGGGAATCGCCTTCTGGCATTCCAACGCAGACCAACGTTCCCCCAAATCTCAAAAAACTAAGCGCTTGAGAATAAGCGCGATTAGAAGCAGTGCACACAATGACAGCAGATGCTCCGATTCCGCCAGTGACTCTTTTGACTTCCTCTGCAATCGCTTTATCGTCAAATTTGGTGAGATCTATGAAGACTTCTGCTCCGCATTCTTTCACCAACTCTTCCTTACTTCCATGATCAATTCCAATGATTCTCATTGCCATACCACGACTTCCGATTTGGCAAGCCAAGTGGCCCTAGGTAGGTTAGTATGCGACCCGATTAGAGATTCTGGGGAGGAGATTACAAGACCACCGCCCGCACCGGCTATTGTATGTTAGTTTGAAGACTTCATAAAACTCGGAGATGACCGTACCGATAACAACCCATTGACCACTCTTAGCATCACTCTTTCTCAAGGCTGAATACCTAAACTCAAAAGTTTCTGTGAGCTTCGCCTACTCGAGGGGTGACCGGCCCCTGAGGCGGCCCGGCCGCTTAAGCGACCGAATTGAGGCTGTGAAAACTCACGTCGTGACTCCAGCACATAGTAGAGGAGCAGCGTCCTTAGAATCCAGAGCATCTGGAATTGGTGTTACATAGTTCGCTGGCGCGAGCGCATATTGTTGAAATGTCCCCGGGTCTGTTTTCTTGAATTAGAAATGTCACCCACTTGGAAAGCCTTGATTCACGAACAATAATAGCCAGAGATTTTTTGATTCTACACAACGAAAGATTTAGTATTGAACTCTAAGGCGGATTCAGAATTTGGGGATACTCACGAAGCAAACTCCATCTTTACCCTCGAGACATGGAAGACAAGAACCACAAGCATAGGCGATCCACTTTGAAGATTCTCAATTAATCATGGCCCCCTTTGTTCTCGAGATGAACTCACTTTAATTCCAACACGATCACCAACCTTCACTCGACCATTCTCCGAGCCTGGGCCTAGTTTGTGGACGACTCCAACACCTTCGTGGCCGCCAACTTGCCCAGCTTGCGTCGGATAAGGAACTTTCAAGGCATTAGAACATCATCGTATACTTAACTGATGTGGTAAGCTTACGACCGCGCCAACTATTCTCACAGATTCCCATATCACTGTGGCAAACACCACTATGGGTACTACACAAGACAGCATAATCAGCGAAATCACATCGACAAAAACGGCGCAGTTTGAGCTCACAGTCTCACAAGCACATCGCCGGGTCCGGGCTCAGGTGTATTTAATTGCTCGATTTTTGTGGAAATGGTTCCCGGCTTGTCGTAAACAATAGCTTTATATTGTTTGGGAATATCAAAGGATTGGGTTGCTGCTGCCATTTCTGCGATTTATTCCTTGGCGAGGTGGAACACGTTTTGATTTCCCACGAGTTCTTTTCAGTTCAAGGCAAGAAAAGAATTTGAGAAGAGAATGTATGTATGTACGTATAGACAGGTGGATGTGTTAATATGGAAAAGAATGGAAATTGTAGAGACTCGAATCACTTTAAATAACAGGTCAAAGAGCGGGGTTACACTATCTGTCACTACACCACCATCTTTCCACCATTTTACTTACGAGGACTTTAAAGCCGATATGCAACGCCGAGGTTTAGCATACTTGCATACATGCGAGTGTGCTTCAGTGAATGTGGTAGAGACTACGAGCATTTGGATGACAGTCAATAGCACCAAATATATGTTGGTTGGTTCCTTCCGAGGGGGGATTAGTTCTTTGATAGATGCGGGGTCTGTAGCAACTCGGGGTAGAGTCATGCAGCCACTCTCGCCACTCAGAAGCTTTGGATCTTTTGTGCGGAGAATTGAAAAGTTGATGATTGAATGTCAATGGATGAAGAGATCATTTGTAATACGTTTCCTCGAATATGATTGCTCTGTTTGACCCTTGTGGTCCCTTGTATCCCGATGTTGATGCCACAAAATGGCAAGTCAACAATAGTCATGTTCGACGCCTTTAAAGTACACCTGCATGTGTGTGTATATGAAGTGACATGCAACGTTATGCATGATGATTCCATTGTGGCAGTTCGCACCTCTGAGGTGGATCGTAATTTATAAAGCCCCTCTTTCTCTATCTGTTTTACCATCTTCTTGTTGCTGTCTCTGTCTCTGACTGTGGCACTGTGCCTTCTCCATGCCAATGTTATCTATCTGGCTGGTATCGTATCGTAGGTATCTAAACGTGATATGACCGTGCGTGCCAAGTGATGATAGATACCTACTTGGATTCAATATCCTAGGTAAGATCTTACATCTTCCTACCTTTTACCAATCTCATGTGAAAACCGTTTCCATATACATTTCAGTATATAACGAAAAACTTCATATTCGGATGTTTGAATGAATTTTACAATGTTCTCGTCGTCTTAACTCCCCGGGCTACTTCATCACACCTGGGTTTCAGTATAAACAATGCAAAGTGTTTGCCATGACGTAGGTACCACGTATCTGAACACCAAATGCAATGGTTTCTACCACTTCGGAACGAAATACGTCAGGTAAATAGGTTGCTGGACTGGTATTATTTGTCAAGACTCTCCGCATATTTCACCGAAGAAACCGGTACAAAACAGACTGAGTATAAGAACCATTATAGGAATACAATCAATGAATCATTTCTACCTCTTGCCGTTTTCAATTGTACAGTATCATTTCGTGTAATAAATATCATTTTTCTTTCTTCCCCTCCAACGAAACGCTACCTTCAAAATGTCCCCAAATATGCAGAAACAACATCCTCAATCCGTTCATGGAGAAAGCCACGAAAGAAAATACGGTGCTTTTCAGAATGAAATCTATAGAGGTATGATATCCTATGCAATGTCCCCTTCATTTCAAAGCAAGACCAAGCAGCTAACTTAACTTCCTTCAGATGGCATGTTTGCTAATACTTTCCCAACTGTGACCACCGATCCCAACAAACTCGAGGAACAAGCACGCTCTAAG